GAGTCCAATATATGGATGGTCGGTATCGGTGGAGGAACTTGAGCCTCCGATATCGATACTGCCGGTGGAGCGGGAGGCACTATAGGGGTATCACCCAGTGCAGGCACAGCTTCCTTCCCCTTCTTCGCTGCCTTAAGGGACTTGGAGGTGCCCTTCTTCGCGGACTTATGCTCTGTACTTGCCTTAGCCTTCTTCTTGATTGGCGTAGAGGCGGACAATCGTGTCTTCGATGTCGAGGGCTTCGGTATCGGACGGTCGACATCAGAGGCAGGTCTCGATGCCAGAGCTGTCGATGTAGACGGTCTCTCCTCCATCGCTGAGGCAGGAGCAAGGGCCGATTCAAGCAGCGCCACTTTAAGGTGCGCATTGCGGTTCTTCCTCATCTGGTTGGAGAAGCGAGCACACTGACAACAGGACTCTGGCTTGTGAGACTCTCCAAGGCATAAAATGCAGAGGGTATGACGATCGGGAGGAGCAAGTTTGCTACCACAACGTCTGCATCTATTGAAAAATCCCCACTTCTTCTCCATAAGAAGAGAAGTGGAGAAAAACGGTTGGGGGGGGGGGTGGCCCAAAGTCCTGAGGTAAATTCCCCTCAGAAGAAAATAAAGTGGTTTTTTAAAGAGCAAACAACTAAAAACGAACTGAAAGCAAAAAACAAGTTAGAAAATAAGTCCTAAGAGCTGTGAGATGAAGCTAAAAGCGAAGCTAACAGCGATCCGATCAGACCAAGAAGGAAAAAGGTATTTCCAACGCGGCGGTAAGAAAGGAACTGGCGGGATGTCCGCGCCCCCCCCCTCCGGGCATGCGTGGTGGGGTTCCTGCGCGTGCCCGGGGGACTGGGCGCAAAAATCCGTTAAAAGAGCACCGATCGATCCAGTGCGTGCGTACTAGATCCCATTGGTGTGAAGCACAGAGACCACAACGAAGATCCTTTAGTTAGGGTTTGGGGTCAGCTTACGGAAGAAAGCTTGTTACACTGAGACAAATAAGCATCCTGTTAAGGTCTCCACATTCCCAGCTTGTGCCTACGGGTTCCGTGGAGAGGAGTGCTGTGTGGGAAAAAGAGCAGCCTTGAACCTGCTGATGTAAACTGTCTGGAGAAAGGGGAATCAAATCTCCCTTCAGGGTTTATTTACTTTACTTGAGACTCAGCTACAAAGTTGTTCGTCTCCTTGGGGGAAAGTTTGTAACTTTTGGGGTGAAGTTGAAAGCCAGTTTTACTTAATATATTGCAGCCATCCACACAAAACATTTACCCTAATAAATACTTTATTTTCTGTTAAATAAAGCTTTGTTGTTCACCTCCAATTGGAGGCAGTTCCTTGTCTGTCTAGTCAAATATCTACAAAAAAAGTTATTTATGTTCCCAATCACAAGCAGAATTAGTCGTGTGATAGGCATGAATGCCGGGTGGATTTTAAGGGCTCAATCACACAGGAACATCTGGCAAGCATCCCACACTCATCAGCAACCCATCTTGCTCTGCCAAAGAAGTGGAGTTTAAAAATACCAGGGAAAGTCCAGTATCAAACGGGTTGCTACAGGCCACAGATGGACTTTCCCCTGTGTGATTGCTCCAGGCCATCCCGACTCTGTGCCGTTGGTTTTTTCCCCTTCTCAGTATGTGCATCATCGCATACTGCCGTAGGAAGTTCTCAGTGTGGAGATGTGATTCATTGATCCTCCATTTAAGCGAATCGAAAACAAACAGAAAAAAACCCTCAACCAACTCACCCACGATTGCGTCTGATCATGCAGTGGCGGGCTATGCCCGCAGCTTCAAAGAACTGTGTGATTGCGCAACTGTGGGTCAATTTCCTCCGGGTTAAATAGCCTTGCTTCCCCCACGCATTATCTTGCGTGTGTGACCGGGACCTATGTTTACCTTCCCAAATAAGAGACTTTTAGGGAACATGTACCTTTCGTGTCTCCCATCCTTTAATCAAGGCTTGTGTCTCTCTTTTTATATGACTGTAGACGGTTGGGTTTAAAGAATCCATAGGAGAGGCCAGAGTGAAGCACTGGACATTCTTCAGTCCAGTGGGTGGTTGCCTCAGAGCTCCCTCCTCTCTCACCCCTTAGCCACCACAACTCCACCTGAGACCCTGGAGGAGATAGTACTGACTCTGAGAGACCAGCAGTGCAATCTGAAGAAAACTTTCCTGGGAGTAAGCCCCACTGAGTAGACTACAGTAAGATTTCTGAGTAGACCTGCTTAGGATCATACTGCAAGAATCTTAAGGCATCTTTAGGTGCTTATGTATCCATAGTATAGACATAAATGGGTTTAATAATTCATTCCTTTTCTTTGGTGAGTGCTGGAAGATGTAGTTCCATGACTGGCAGAGCACAAGCTAAGGATTGTCAGAATTCTCAACACTCTCACAAAAAACTACAATTCTCAGGATTCTTTCATTTAAAAAAATTAATACACTGTTGGTGTAAGCTTATAGCATAGACCAATACTCCCTCTAAGCTGTGGAGTCTTGTGACCAAAAATTCTACTTTGTGAGCTACTGGCATTAAAGTTGTGAGCGAACCATTTGGCTATTACATAAATTAGTTTCTCTGGAGCCATCCTTCCTGAGCTAAGGCAAAAATGTGTGAGCTGGAAGCAAAAAAACGGTGAGCTACCTCACACTAACTCAGCCTAGAGGGAACAGTGGTGTAGACATATTTTTGCTGCAGAGGTAATTTACCTTATCCAGACGTTCCTCGGAACTGCTAAGGCTTGATTGGTATGGCAGTGGGTGATGAGAATCTTAGTGTTTGCCTGGGGAAAAGCAAAAAAATAAATAAAAAATTTTAAAACTTGAGGGGCCAGGGGGGTAGCGGTAAGATAGATTCTCCTGGGAATCAAATCAAAAGAACTGAGAAAGGAATAGCAGGAAGAGGAGAGTTAAGTATTTTCAAAAAGGGCATAAAAGTTTCAGTTACAGAAATAAAAGAATGGTTGGAAGGTGGAGAGGCAAATGATTCAACAGATAAAGAAATGGAGGCAGCTGTTCTCAGAATACAGAGTTCCATAGCTTGCAGAGAACACAGATGTAAAAGATTTGTGTTCTGTACAAACCTGCATGTGCTGTTAGGTCTTCAGTTGAGACCCTGTTCTGTGTGCCCTCAGCTACAGAAGTTGATGCAAGTAGCTGCAGCAAACTGGCTTTTCTGTGGTGTCTCTGGAGACTGGCAATGAAGATCTTTATTGGAGGCCCTGCTCTGGGTGCTCCTTACCTTTTGAAATCAGGTGGCTGGCAATTGGAGACAGCTCCTTTTCGGTTGTCATCCCAGGCTCTAGAATTCCTACAATTGCTTCTCTGGAGCTAGTTTGTACAGCTTTAAAGGTAAAGGTAAAGGTTCCCTTGCTCGAAAGCCAGTCGAATCTGACTCTAGGGTTGCGGTGCTCATCTCCGTTTCAAAGCCGAAGAGCCAGCGCTGTCCGAAGACGTTTCCGTGGTCATGTGGCCGGCATGACTAAACACCAAGACACATGGAACGCTGTTACCTTCCCACCAAAGTGGTACCTATTTATCTACTTGCAGTTTCTTGCTTTCGAACTGCTAGGTTGGCAGGAGCTGGAACTAGAGACGGGAGCTCACTCCGTCATGCGGCACCCGGGTCTCGAACTGCTGAACTACTGACATTCCACAGCCTGCAGTTCAGCGTCTTAACCACTTGCCACCACAGCTCCTGCTTGTACAGCTTTAGGCACCAAGAAATATTGGAATCTCTCTTTTTCACATTGGAAGCTTTTATTAAAAATAATAGCACATGGATGTCGCTTTCATCCTAAAACTTAAACTGCACTATGGCTGGCATTTAGTAGATTTTATTATGCAGGGGCTTTTTATTATGCGGGGGCTTGGTCTAAAATGGCTTTTAGTGCCATTTTAGACCAAGCAACTAGCCATGTGTGGACAGGGTAGATTTGATAGGTGGCAAAACATGCTAAATTTGATGTTAAAGTACTGCTGGCTTTCCCTGTGTTTTGTGCCCCTTCCGGCCTCTATGGGAATTTCCAGCTCCCTTTGGAGCCCGCTGCTGGCAGGTGACGAGATCTGGGCCCTTTCCATCAGCCTGCCCCTGGCTCCCAGCCGCTACATCTGCAATTTCGTTGATCTGCAGAAGAGGAGGAGAGAGATTGCAAAGCCCTATTTACAGGCCTACTTTAATTGTTTTGTATTTAACAACAAACTGATGTTTCATGATAATTGTAGTGTGTCTTCAAATTAAAAGGCATGTTTATTGGAATAAATCACAAAGGGGAGAAGGAAGCCACCCAGGCCTGTCTCCTGCATGGAACAGGTATAGGAAACAGGTTTGGGGAAAGGGAGAGAGAGACCAGACCAAGTGCATTAGCAATAAGCATGAAGAAGTTCTGTAAAGCTTCTTACAGGCACCGGGAGCCCTTCATATTCGAGGCGCAGCTGTGGATCCAGGTAAGTAGCTTGCCAAGAAGCCAGGTAGGAAAGTTCGTCAGTCAGGAACACAGCTTGAAGGAGGGACTTCTTCGCCATGTTCTGAAACATTTTGTGGTCACTCACTAGAAACAGCTGAAAATGAGGGACAGCAGAGAGTGATTTGTTTGGGAACTGGATGAATGAAGTTAAAAGATAGACAGGGTTGCCAGCTCTGGGTTGGGAAATATCTGGAGATTTCAGGGGTAGGGTAGGGACACCAGTAGGGTATGATGCCATAGAGTCCCACCTTCCAAAGCAGCCATTTTCTCCAGGGGAACTGATCTCTGTCGCCTGGAAACCAGTTGTAATTCCAGGAGATCTCCAGCAACCACCTGGAGACTGGCAGCCCGAGAGAGAGAGAGAAAGTGGGCGATGCCAGAACGGTTAGAGATTTGGGTCCGAAGCTTGTCTGGATTGTCACATTCATCTTTTTTTCATTAGAGGGTTAACTGATACCCATCATTTTTTTTATTACATCTTTATTAGTACTTCGGACAAAAACAAAACATAACATACGTAAACACAAATTTGAATTCCAAGGTATAATACACATCTTTGCTATAAACAATAGTGCCTTAACATCCAATTATAGATATATTTAGTGAATTATACATTTTTCTGTAGCCAGCTGTAAAACTTAATCCAAATATTATCAAATACATCATCATCCTTCCCCCGGAGCTTCATTGTGAGGTTGTCCAAGTCGGCTACTTCTGTCACTTTAACTACAAATTCCTCTCTAGACGGTATGTCTTCCTGTTTCCAGGACTTTGCAAATAAAATCCTGGCTGCCGTAAGCAGATGTGTAATTAAGTGCGCGTCCGTCTTTTTTAAATTATCAGGCATAATATTTAACAAGAATATCTCTGGTTCATATGGGATTCTCAACATAGTCATCTGAATAATAATTTCATAAATTTCTTTCCAATATCTTTGTGTTATTCTACATGACCACCAAGCGTGATAGTAGGTCCCTTTTTCTGTTTTGCACTTCCAGCATCTATCTGACAGGTTAGGATAACATCTAGCTAACACCTCTGGAGTTAAGTGCCATCGGTGAAACATTTTAAAAAGATTTTCTTTCGTCGTCGTTGCCTTCATCCTTTTCATATTTTGCCATATTTTTTCCCATTTGGCCCATTCAATGTTATGACCAAAGTTTCTAACCCACTTCTTCGTCTTGCATTTTTTGGTCTAACAAAAGGTTATAAAATTTCCGAATAAGTTTATCCCCCGGACCCATCAGTATCTTATCCATTTCAGCATACTCCACATATATACCTATCTGTTTATCTTTCTGATACCTGGATGTAAGCTGATTTCTCTCCCACCAGGACAATAACATTCCTCTGATCTCAAGCTGATTCTGGGTTTTTAAATTTCCATTTATATCTAAGCACTCCCTATAGGTAACATATCTTGAAGTGGACATCAAACTAAGAATAGATGTTGCTTCCAAGGTTTGCTTCCCCTCAGCACCAAATGGCACGTCTGACTGCGGCCTCCACTCCTCCATTTTATCCTCACAACAACCACCCTGTAAAGTAGGTTAGGGTGAGACGGTGTGACTGGCCCCACATCACCTGCCAAGCTTCCATGGCAGAGTAGGGATTCAAACCTTGGTCTCTCAGATCCTAGTCCAGTACCACATTGCCTTTTAGTGTTATAGCTTTTAATGTCACTGGATTTATTTATGACTAAGGAACTGGTTTCATGACTATTTTCTGGAAATAGTTTTATGGAAAAGCAGGCTCTGAAGTGGGTTAGGATGCCGGGCTCCAACGGACAGGAGCTGGTGTGGTAGAGTGGTTAAAATGTTGTATTTGGATCCAGGAGAACTGGATTTGGGTCCCCACTCTGCTCTCGGCCAAGCTTTATCTCACAGAGCTGTGATAAGGATAGCAGGTGGGAAGAAGGGCAGGCAAAAAAGCTAATGGATATTTTAACAACTAGTATGTTAGGTTAGTTGGGTTTATCTGTTGTGTATTCTGTGTATCCTTACTTACCATTCGATCACGAAATCCTCCTGTTGTACCCAGGCCGAAATTCTGCCCAAATCGAATGGGTTCTCCCATGGACGTTCCCTCAATACTTTAAACACAGAATAAGGGGGCACTGTTAGCAGAAGATGTGTTGTTTCCTACCTATTGAGCAGCATTAACAGGAATGGTATTTTGCAGAGTAACATAAGCAACAACTTTTCTGTTTAAAAAAAGTCCCTGCTCCAAGCACGTTACAGTATATGTGTTGACAATGGGAGAAATGAGAAGGAGAGGCAAAACAGCACAAAGCCTGGGTCCAGAGCAGTGTTCCCTCTAAGCTGATGTGAGCTAGCTCACAGTTTTTTAGCCTCCAGCTCACACATTTTTGTCTTAGCTCAGGAAGAAGGGCTCCAGAGCTAACTGATTTATGCAGCAGCCAAATCGCTCACTCACAAATTTAATGCCAGTAGCTCACAAAGTAGAATTTTTGCTCACAAGATGCCACAGCTTAGAGGGAACATTGGTCCAGAGGGATAGGAGAAAACAAGGATTGGCAGGTTTAGGTGGGAATTTCCTGGAGATTTTGTGGCTGGAGCCTGGGAGGGGCGGGGTTTGCGGAGAGGAGGGAGCTCAGCGGGCATGTGATGTCATGGAGTTCTACCCTCCAAAACAGCCATTTCCTCCGGGAGATCTGTAGCCTGGAGATCAGTTGTAATTCCAGGAGATTTCCAGCCACCACCTGGGTGCTTTAGTACAAAAACACAACACTGAGGCTGTAGCACTGTGTAAAGAAATACAAATGGATCTGTAAAGTCCTAAAGATCCATTTGTATTTCTTTACACAGTGCTACAGCCTCAGTATTTTGTGTTTGTACTAAAACTCGCTTTCACTGTGTTGCCATTATATTTACACCACCTGGAGGCTGGCAAACCCTTTGTTTGGTTCAAGCCATTTTCTCTTTGTTGGCTTCAGTACTGTTTTTTAAACAAGTTTTTCATCCCAAAATTCTCCCCCCCCCCAAACCCGGTACTACAGATGAAAATGAGGACAGTATAGTACATAGAACTAAAGCGCTCATTAAGAGCATTCCTCGTGAGGTCTTTGTACCTGGCTTTCACACAGGAAGCTGCACTCAGTTCCGATCCATGTGCCTGCTTTCATAAACATGCATTGTGTGCGCTTGTGCCACTCACATTTTTAAACGCAGGCTTGAAACACTGTCTGTGCAGCCCTGATTCTGTCACAATCCACTCTAGAGCTCTTTTGCGTCTTCTAAGGGAAGCCATGGGTGGCTTGCAAAGGCTGTCAGGAAGCCTATAACAACGTCAGTGTGTACAATCCTGCTTGCTTTCGCTCCCAAAATGTAATAGTGGTAGAGCCAGTGTGATGTTGGGACCTGGAGTGTGACCAGGTTCAAATCTCAACTTGCCAGTCATTTTCTGTCTAACCTTCCTCACGCGACTGTTGTAAGGACAAAATAAATGGGGTTGTGGGGTTTTTTGTATATGTAGCCCTTGGGTCCTTAGAGCAGGGGGTCCCCAATCTTTCTAAGCCTTTGACCACCACTGGAATTCTGACAGGGTCGTGGGCACAGCCACAGAATGGCTGCCACAGGGGGCGGAGCCAGCCACACCCCCAGTGTCACGACATGAGGTCTCACAGGGACTTCAGCATTTCAAGCAGAAGCTCTGCTTAGCCGGCTTTTTAAAATGAACCTGTTGTTTTAAAATATTTTCTTGCATACACACAGCTTTCCTTTAGTCGCTTACCATTAGTTTAGCTGTGGTGCAAGCTACTGCTAAAGCAAAGTTTTAAAAATCTGCACAGCCAATTAGAGGGCCTGCTCCATATGCCCACACCCACCTTCTAAAAACATTTGGGGGGTACCAGGAAATGCCAAGGACATTGCATTGGGGACTGCTGGCTTAAAAGTGTCTGTGAGAGAAGGAAAGTTACCCTTCAAGGAAACAATTAAAAGCTTCCAGCGGGATATCACACCTTAAAAGCTGAAATGTGTTCCGACCCATGGGGGCAGTGCCTCTGATGGCGCTCAGTCCACAAGGAGATGGGAGTGCATCCAATGCATGGACAGCCATTTCTTCAGGGGTAACTGCCAGGGAGAGGTTTCCACTTTCGCAAGGTAGGTTCTCCATAGGTGACTTCTTGTTGTCGGGACTCACCATCATAACTGTGTCTCCAAAGTGAAGGAATCCATCTTTTGAAATGGAAAGCTGCTCCTGGGGGGGGGGGATATATGTGTATGTGTGGGAGAGTTACATTTGATTAGAGCATGGTTTCAATTTTCCTTTCCATTTCATTTTTAAAAACCTGATTTAAATTGTCAAGCCACAATGCTTACTACAATAAGTACTAAAATTTGTGTGCATCATGCAAGCTTGCTTATTCTCATGGTCAATGCATATGCCACTTTTCTGCCTTAGAAAGGCACAGGAGGTGGTTTACAATCTGAAAGCCACATGAGCTTCTGACGTAATTCTTATCAGACACAGCAGTTACCCCTACATCTAAGCTACATGGTACAATTGGATATCAGTCGGGTTAAGGTTTCCCTGACCCAGCTAGGGAAGCCAGCCTCCAGGTGGAATCCCCTGGAATGACAGTTTATTTCCAGACTGTTATACGCACAGTTTATAAAACACTTTGTACTCTGCCACTAACAGGTTTAACTTAATAGGTGCACTTAGCACTTCCATGGTGCATATGTTAAGTGCCATTTATGATTCTAACCTCATGAATGTTTTCAGGTATTAACTTTGGTTCATTTGTGACTGTTGTTTGGATGCATGCTGGGAAGGTAAAATACTGAAGCTTGTGACCTTGCTTGTTATGACCAGCTACAACTGCGCATGTTTCTGATGTCAGTTAGCTTGAGTTAGATGGAAACCATACTACACAATGTACCATATCTGTTACATTAGATACTTTTAATCACTTCATAGCCTGGGAAGAAGGCGGCTCATTGTTCAACTGAAGGAGGTTTATTTTTGCCTGAGAAAGTCCAACCTACAGGCCTGGGCCCAATCAGAATGGTGTGACGGATATACGACAAAGTTTGATAGAACCAATCATTGTGATTTATTTCTAACTGTCTTAGGGGGTATAAAACTTTGTTTCCCACTGTAACCTTAGGGAGAGCTGTGGGATCTAAAACCTTATTGGATCTGCACCTTCCTCCTTTGTTGATCAATAAAGTACAAGTTCTGATTCTGCTCTACAGGATTGTACTGAGTGTTTTCTCAAATTGGTCTGGGGAAACACACACACTCAGACAGGATTATTTTCTGTACATCAAGACTACACCCATCAGTTTCCCTAGAGAAAATGGCTGCTTTGGAGGGTGGACTCTATGGCATTGTATTCCACTGAGGTCCCTGACCACCTCAGGCTCCATTCCCAAATATCCAGGAGTTTCCCAGCCTGGATCCGGCAACCCTACTCCCCCATCACCTGCCGGTGGCAAGGGGGGACCTGGCAACTCTAGACCCAACTCTCATCCTTCACAGCCAGACAGTAGCTGTAGCAATCCCCCCCCCCAAGCATGGCAAGGCCCAGTTTGGATAGAAATCATGGCATGGTGGAGAAGGGGCTTCAGCCTCCCCCTCAAACCATTTTCTTAAGCAGGAACAGCCCCATGAGGTGTTATTTGCCCCACTGGAGGGTCTGCATGTGCAATAAATAGTGCCCCCTGGAGCTTTTTTGGGTCAGAAAAACAGAGTCAGGGGCCCCCCTCTTTCTCCTGTGTAGCAGCCCTCTAGTGCCTGGGAAGAATGTTTCCTGCAGCCCCAGCCCGTGTCCAGAAGTATTGTGTGGTTTGGACCTGAGAAGGGTAGATTTCAAACATTCTGTGTTTAAGAAACATTTTCTTCATTGTCTTGTCTGCTGAGGAATCTTTGTGCATTTCAGAGAATTCTTAGAATCATTTTAATGGTGTGTTTTTCATTCCTGCCCTACACAGTGTTTGCTATTTCTCTAACTTTAGTTTTATTTGGAGATACGATAAACATAATTGATATCTGAAATCATGATTTAGATTCACTGAAAAGGTTCAAAATAACTGGATACCTTTTTATATAGGTTTTCTTTCAATTTTTTTGATCTCTGGATTAAAAGTTCTCCCCTTTCTCTTCTAAACAGAAAATCTTTCAGGAGATCCTATTTAAAAAAAAAAGAAATTGAAATCAACAGTTCAATACTTAATATGCAAAGCATACATTATTTCTTTACTGATAATATTTTATCCTGCTTTTGGTTATGAGGCCCCCAGAGCAGATTACAAAAATGACCAATTTAAGATATTTCATAATAGCATTACAAATATAATTAAATTTCATCTAACACACTGATAAAGTGACACAGAAAAACTAGCTAAGCTACAAGACAATCTTAAGCAAAGATGTGCTGTTCTAAGCCTGTTGACTTCATTGCATTTAGAAGAGTGTAACTCTGTATAGGTTTGTGCTGTTATAAAAAAAGAATGTACAAGAATAAAAACAAGCAGTTTGCAAAATGCAACAAAACTTTGCAGCATACCATCAAAAGTCACAACTTAAAACCCAAACACAGCTGAAATAGGAGCCTTTTAACCAATCTCTTGACACATCCAAAGACTTATGTTTTATCTTATACAACTGTTTTATTCCAGAGAGCGTTGGGTAGAAAGTAAACTGTTTTGGCTGCGTTTTTCAATTGTGTGTTTCCATTGTGTCTTGGTTTTTGTGGTCCCAATGTTCTTTGCTATTTTCTTAGCTGACATGAGTATGAGGAGATACTGGGGGGGGCAATTTAATATTATGAATAAATAAATAAATAAAATACAGGATGATTCCAGAATGTGCCTCATGTGGGGAAGGAATTCTGTAAAGCTTGTGTTAGAACTAAGAATGCTCTTACTTGTGTCCCTGCTCTTATCCGTGTCACTGGTGGGGGGGAGCAGGGGAGCAGGAGCTCACCAGGTGATCCAAATGTGCCCTGGCCAGGTTCCTGTTGGAAGAGGTGAGCTTTGAGGTACCCTAGTCCCAAGCCATTCAGGACTCTAAAAGTCACCCCCAGCATTTTGGGGCCTGGAAATAGATTGGGAACTTGTGACAATATATAGGAACTCCGGTATAATGTGCTCAAAAGCAGCTTTGCCAGGCAGCCACATTTCTGGACCAGCTAAATTTCTGAAAACTTTACAAAGGAAGCTTCATGAAGTGGGTTTAGCAGGAGCCTTTCTGGCCAAAACGAAACACCACTTTCTATCAAGAGTCTGCTGATACACCCAGATTCTTTGGGGCTCATCTGCTTAGTCTGTACAACTCTGCTGTCACAAATACAATGGCACTTCATGATGGCGCTAAGATTGTAGAACTCTCTTCCCCATGAAAGTCCCATTTGCACCATCCCTTTCAGCCTTCAATGATCTCTTAAAGACCTTGACCTGCTTGATCTCACCAGAGCTCAAAAGCAAAGCAGGGTCAGCTCTGGTTAGTATATGGATGAGAGAGACCACCATGTATAGGGTTGCTATTTCTGGGTTGGGAAATACCTGGAGATTTTGGGGGTGGAGCCTGAGCAGGCCAGAGTTTGGGGAATGGAAGGACCTCAATGGGGTACAATGTCATAGAGTCCATCTTTGAAAGCAGCCATTTTCTCCAGGAGAACTGATTTCTATCATCTGGAGATCAGTTGTAATCCCAGGAGATCTCCAGCCACCACTTGGAGGTTTAAACAGCAGAGATGCATGGAAGGGAGTAAGTAAGATCAAACCATGCATGAATAATGAAAAATAATATATTGAACAAAATCAATGAGTATAATAATCTAGACTTATTCAAATAGAGTGGTTTTTCATAAATACAATACGATAATCAGAAACTCAAAAGTACATGGTCCAAATACAAAAACAGCCCTATTAATACACCTTCAGAAATAGTCCAAGTCAAATTCCTCAAAAAGTGAAAAATCCAAATGTAGATGTTTCTAATTCAAAAAATCCACGTCTCACTGCTTGTGTATCCACTTCACAGCACCACCAGCTTCATGTTGCTGTATTGCCTTGCTTCCCCAAAAGTGGAACACCAAAATTGCCCAGCTCCAATGTTGAAACATACACAGCATCTTTTTCATTCATAATGTACATAAGACCAATTGCTGTGGAAGTCCAGGGATACTACGCAGAGGCAGCCAATGGCAAACCATCTGTGTTAGTTTTTTGCCTCAAAAACCATACAGGGTCTCCATAAATCACCTGCAGCTTGACAGCATTTTACATACAGACAATCTGGTAAAGATAATTTTGGTTTGCAGTACCCTTGGCAAAATTAGTCTTTGATTTCTTATTATCATTGCTGAGCTGCTGGTTTTTGTCCTTTCTAATGGCTGCTTCTGTATTATTTTGTTGATATGCCTTCTTGCTGGTTTCTTTTTCTTCTTTATGCCCTTATGTCTATAGACAGTTTGTTGTTTTATTACTCCTGTTGTACTCTATGGATGTATTCAAAAGTTGGATATGAGCTGCTTATTTAAACATTAAGTACATGTAAATCCCACGGAGTACGACTGGAAAACTGTGTGTGTAAATCCCCCCCCCCCAATTGATCTAAATAGCTTATAATTGTTTGAGAATGGGAAGAGATCTTACAGGGAACGTAACCCAGCCCCTTGATCAGTGCACAAAGTCATTCCCAGCAGATGGTTGTCCAGCCCCTCCTTGAAGGCTTTTAGAAAGGGTAATTGCTTCCATTGTCGGTTGTCATTGTCACTTTTCTAATTAATTGACTCTTGAGTAACTTGAACCTATCACTGCTTTTCCAACCCTCTGTTGCCCTGTTCTTCAGCCCAAGAAACTGACCCCCCCCACACACACACACAAAGAGGCCACATCCAGATATTTTTGGCTCTTGAGCTGTAGCAGTTATTTACAACTGGATTTCCTTGGACAGATGGGGAAATCCAGTCACAAACTATTACTGCAGTTCAACAATAGCACAAAGTTCAGTGTCCTCTGGATGCCGAGAGAGAGAGAGAGAGAGAGAGAGAGAGAGAGAGAGAGAGAGAGAGAAAGACAACGCAGAAGATTTTGCCATAAACTGGCCTGCTGTAGAAACAGAGGGTCATGTGCATTATAGAAGTGCATTATTTGAATGTGGGAGAGTGGAGGAATCTGTGCTAGGGCCAAAGATGAAAGAAAAGAAGGGGGAGATAAATATTTGGAGACCACCCAAATTAAAACATCAGGGGGCCAGAGGTAGCTTTCCAGGATCTGACTTAGTACGGGGTGCCAGCTCAGTAGGGGTTGCCAGCTCAGTAGGGGTTCTCAGTTCAGAAATTCATGGAAATTTGGAGCCTGGGGACAGTGAGGTTTGAAGAAGGGAGGGACCACAGTGGGGTATAATGCCATAGAAGCCATCCTCCAAAGCAGCCATTTCCCCCAGGGAAACTGTTCTCTCTTGTCAGTTGAAATTCTGGGGGATCTCCAGGCCTTGCCTGGAGGTTGGCAAACCTACTTGGATGATGAGCCAGGGAAAAGAGAATGAAGGAAAATACCTCCTGAGAAACTGATGCATGGGGACTGGAATTAAAGTCCCCCCCACCCTATCAAGTAACTCTAAAACTGAAAACAAATAGCACTTAAGTCTGGCGCGACAGTTTCAGTACCTCTTCTAGATAGACATCCTCGTTCCAGTTGGCAATCAGCACCCCTGGACTGTAGGCCCTTCCACTCTTGCTGGTCCTCAGGTTGAAGTTGAACATGTTGGCTCAGAAACTGTTGAAGACGCACAGACCAGACCATCCAGGCTGATTTGTGTTGGGTTTACACAGGTTACCATGGGGATAGTGTTTGCTCAGGATTGGCCCTTCTGAAGGAGAGCCCTTAGCCAATCAGAACTGAATGGAATGGCTGAAGCGGAGGGTGGCTGTGGCAGCTCTCTAGCATTCCTTTAGCTGCATGACAGAATCTGGGGTGAGAGCATGGGGCCTATTTTTACACTGCACGTATTGTTTATTAAGTGCTCACTTTGTCAGATAGATAAGCCAGCGTGGCCTTGTGGATAGAGTGGTGAGCTAGGATTCCGGGAGACCTGGTTTCAAATCCCCACCTCTACCATGAAAGCTCCCTGGATGACCTTGGACCGTTGCAAACTCTCAGCCTGACCTACCTCACAGAGTTGTTGGGAGAGAATGGAGGAGGGGAGAACAATGTTCTAAGCTGTTTTGGGTCCCAACTAGGAAGAAAAGCAGGATATTGATAAATAAATGCAAATACAAAGATTTGCATTTAAAAACTGAAACTGCAGTCTGACAGACCGAAGCAGAGCATAACATGCAATAAAGATCAGAATGGGACCTGTAGTAGGTGAGATAAAATTAGGAAGGGAAAGAAGCTTAATGAAGACTGCCCTTGTGTATGTTACAATGTAAATACTTAAAATCCAGAAATTATGCCTCATACTTGGTCTGTTTTGATCACCATGTCACTCTGCAGGAGATAATTGGGAATCTGATTTGACAAGCCTGCAAAAATGAAATCCGTCAGCATTTTGAAATTCAGAGCATCTTAACATTGGGAGCCTGCACGGTGACAGTGACTATGTAAAGAATTGTTGCACTGATTTGCTCCATAACAATTTTTGCTAATACAGGAAGTTAATTAAAACCATCATTGTATGACCTGAGAATGTAGG